CACAGATACGGTTGCATCAGAGGTTTCACTGTCCAAAAAAACTTTCATTTTCATCTTTGAGATTCTTGTCTTTAATAGATACTTATTAGATACAAAATTCTCAAGACAAAAATGAAATAAATACTATTATATACAAATCACCAACTCCTTAAAAAACAAACAAACAAAAAAACAAGAAAAACCACAGGTTATTCTTTTCCCCCGAACATGTTTGGATTTATGTGCACAGTCCAACACACTGGTTTTGGCATTGCTGTCCTTGCCCCAAAAATATTAATTACACTAATACATAATACTATTTAATATATGGGAGATACTCAAACATTGCAGCAGTGTATATACACACTTTAAAAAAGTAAAGTTAGATAACACTATTTTTTCAACTTAATATACAAATGTTTACTTTTAAATATATAATCACTAACAATTTGGTGCAGCTGTTATGTTATTTCCTCAATCTATTTAGATTACATATATCACTGTCAAAAATTCAATCAGATAAGCAAGTTTCACACTATTCTGCTATGGTGAAAAAAAATAAATAAATCCAGCTTATCTAACCATGAAACAGTTAAATATTGATTATTAAGAGAAACTATTTTCCTCCTTTTTGCATAACTGTGGTACAAGTACTGCTTAGATGGGGCTAGGTGGCACAGTGAGTCACAGCACACTAGTGCTTCAACTGCAGACGTGTAGGTTAAAAAGTCTGTTTTAAGGCACACAAGTGAGCATCACTTTGGCATTAGAACTCTAATTGTCCATTATCCAGAAACCACTATAAGCTTCCTCATGGTTGGGAACAGATGGTGGCCTTTTCTCATGAACAGGTGAGTATTAGTGTGGTGAAATGAATTTGACCTGTACTGGCAGATTCTCACTTTTATGAGAAATGCAAGCTCACTTAATAAACATTAAAACATGCACATAACATAATAGATCTAGCTAATACACCAAGCTAGTATCCTATTTAATGTACTTCCTCATCTCCAACTGAGCAAGATCACTGGATCCAAGAACTGGGATCTAAAGCTTTCCATTACCTGAAATCCAAAAATCATGCCTTACATTTTTATTTGGACATTTTTCCCTTGCAGTTGAATGAGATATATAACTATTAGAACTTCTCATGACAGTGTCAATTCACATCTGTTGAGATACTGCTATGATAGTAAGGCACCTCTACATTACAAGCCACTAAAAATCATGATGGCAAAATGATTCGGAGACAAATCTATTCAGAACACATGATGCAAAGAGGATAGCAAAAAGAGACCAACACAAGTAAGCACTTGATAGAAAGACAATGTCATCATTTCAATGCTAGGGTTAATGTTACAGTGTCAGAATGGCTGCTCTGTGCATATATGAAGTCTCCATTACTACATCAGTTTATTCCTCTCCCCCACACTTTCAGTATAACTTTTCTGCAAGTTCCTCTTTTGCGCTCCAAGGATCACTAGTATATACCACACATAAGTGAGGCCACCTCTCAGTCTTAAAGATATTCTCCAAAGACTATCATATCAGTTTGAGATATGTGTACATACACATTTCTAACATTATCTACAGCTAATATATAGAAGTAAGGGAAAGGTGTGCATATTTCACTGAGGTCTTTGAGGTTGTCTTGACTAAGCAGGAAGATCTCAAAGACAGGATTGGCCCTTGAGCATCTGTGGCCCTCTGTGAACATTGAAACAGATGATTACATGGCTGATTCTCTAGTGCCTTGTGCCATATGTAAACATGTACATGTATGCAAAGGGAAGTGAATGTCAAAACCAGTTTGAACAAGGAGAAGTCCTTGTGGTACCTTAGAGACTAACAAATAGTCTCTAAGATACTACAAGGACTTCTCCTGTTTTTTGCTGATACACACTAACACAGCTAAACCTCTGAAACCTAAAACCAGTTTGATTACATCTTACACCCACTTTTCACCCATATGAAGGACAGCAGTAGGTGGGAGGCAGTGGAAACCCAGGCCCTAGTGGGGGGGGG